CCCAGTTCGATTACGAGTACACGGAGACCGGCGAGCGGCTGGTGCTGGGCAAGGGCACCTACGGGGCGGTGTACGCGGGCCGCGAGCGGCACACACGGGTGCGCATAGCCATTAAGGAGATCCCGGAGCGGGACAGCAGGTGCGGCGTGCGGGGCCGCGCGGGCGGGGCTCGGCGCTCCCTGGGGCCCAGGTGGCCGGGACCACGAGTTGAGGGGGGTCCTGGGGACGCGACTGTAGGCGCGGGAACCGCGGATGCCCTCCTGGTCGGGCTTACAGATGCCCGGTGGGCCCGGGCCCGTGGGCAGAACGGCAGGGACCAGGAGGGCGGAAGGGTCCGGAGGGGCCTGTGGGCTGGGTGACAGATAGGGTGGGGAAGGTCAGAGAGGGGCGTGTGGTTGGGGCAGGTCCTGGGGGCGTGGCCTGGCTGGTGCTGGAGTTGGGGGAGCGTCTCTGCCCCAAGCTCGCCTGTTGGTCTCTCCCTACCTGCCCCCAGGTTCTCTCAACCCCTGCATGAAGAGATAGCGCTGCACAAACGCCTTCGCCACAAGAACATTGTGCGCTATCTGGGCTCCGCCAGCCAGGGCGGCTACCTCAAGATCTTCATGGAGGAAGTGCCCGGAGGTACCTGCCCTGCGTGGGATGGCAAGTGGAACTGGAAGTGCGGGGCATGGGGATGGAGCCAGGGAGGGGTGGGAAACCCTTGGGGAAGATGAATCCTAGCGTGTGTGGGTGGCGTAGCCTGGCATTAGCTGACACAGTGCGGCTGGGTGGTGATGGAGTCTGGGTCATGGCATGGGTGTGCCCCGGCCTTGAGCAGAGAGCTGAGGGCGGGAGTAAGTGGCGCCAGTGATGACCTCGGATTGCTTCTGCCCAGGCAGCCTGTCCTCCTTGCTGCGGTCAGTGTGGGGACCCCTGCAGGACAATGAGAGCACCATCAGTTTCTACACCCGCCAGATCCTGCAGGGACTCAGCTACCTGCATGACAACCGCATTGTGCATCGAGACATCAAGGTAAAGCAGGGTGCCTGGGTGGCTCAGTAGGTTAAAGCATCCGACTCGTGGTTTCAGCTCAGGTCGTGATCTCACGGGTTCGCTGTCAGCGAAGAGCCTGCTTGGAATTCTCTCTCTCTCTCTCTCTCTCTCTCTCTCTCTCTCCCCTTCCCCCTGCTCATGTGCACGTGCTCTCTCTCAAAATAAATAAATAACCATTAAAAAAGAGAGAGCGCACCTGAGTGGACTGTCAAGCGTCCAAATCTTGATTTTGACTCAGGTCGTGATCTCATGGTTTGTGAGTTTGAGCCCCGCATTGGGCTCAGAGCTGATGCACAGAGCCTGCTTGGGATTCTCTCTCTCTCTCTCTCTCTCTCTCTCTCTCTGACCTTCCCCTGCTCTCACCCTCTCTCAAAATAAATTAAAAAATAATTTTTAAATAAAAAAAATTAAATTAGGGGCACCTGGGTGGCTCAGCCAGTTGAGCGTCTGACTTCAGCTCAGGTGATGATCTCATGGTTCATGGGTTCGAGCCCCATGTTGGGCTCTGTGTTGACAGCTCAGAACCTAGAGCCTGCTTCGGATTGTGTCTTCCTCTCTCTCTCTGCCCCTCCCCCACTTGCACTCTGTCTCTCTCTCTTAAAAAAATAAATATAAAAAATTTTTAATAAAAAAATTAAATTAAAAAGAGAGAGAGTGACATCAGAGTAAGCCCTGTAGAAGCAAAAATAAGATAAAAACAGAGAGGGAAGCAAACCATCAGAGACTCTTAAATACAGAGAACAAACTGAGGGTTGCTGGAGGGGTGTTGGGTGGGGGGATGGGCTAAATGGGCGATGGGCATTAAGGAGGGCACTTGTTGGGATGAGCACTGGGGGTTATATGTAAGTGATGAATCACTAAGTTCTATTCCTGAGATCATTTAAAAAAAAGAGTATGAGGGAATCCTTTGGGGGTAATGGAAATGTTCAATATTATTATTTTGGTTGTGGTTATACAATTGTATAGATTTGTCAAAGCCATTTGACTTATGCTCTGAAAATGGTAAAAATTGCTGTATGTAAATTATATCCTTGGCTTTTATTATAAAGTAATTATAAAGCTGACTTTTTAAAAAGCATAATCATCATAATAATTTTTAAAAATGAAAAAAGGTAAGCCCTGTAGCTGGCCCACCCTGGCTCACTGGTGAAGGGGGACAGGAGGAGATATGGCTCCAGACAGAGACTGACAGTTTAAATTAAGAGTGCAGACCCCTTTGCAAAGGGTGGGGAATTTAATCAAGGAGGCTCCCTAGGGAAGGAAAGAACTTCAGACCTGAAGGCAAACCAGGTGCCAGGTCCCAGGAGTCATAAGTGGGATCGAAGAGGGAGGAGGCCGATAGAGGTGGGGTCAGGCTGGGATTCTAGGAGATGGGATCCCAGGATAGGGTCCGGTTTTGCCATCAGAAGCCCAGCCTGATGTGCACTGAGCACAATGTCTACTCTACTTAGGGGGACAATGTACTGATCAACACCTTCAGTGGGCTGCTCAAGATTTCTGATTTCGGCACGTCCAAGAGGCTGGCAGGCATCACACCCTGCACTGAGACCTTCACAGGTAGTGGGGTGTGGGGTGGTGAGTGGGGTGCTGACCTAGGACAGAAGAACTCTTAAGACCTTTCAGGGAATGGTGTTTCTCCTGGCCACGGAGTTAGAGCCCTAATGGGGGATGTAACCCAGGGCTGGTGATTGAGCCAGAGGTGAGGTGATAGAATCTAGAACTGGAGCTCGGATAGCTGATGATGGTGAATTTAAGTGCCTGAAATGGAGCTCAGAAATGTCGATGCGGGCTAAAGTGTGTGACAGAGTTCAGAGTGGATGATGCTGTCCAGGCTATATGATGGAACCTCCAGGGGGTGAAGGAGTCAGAATATGATAGAGCCTAGGGTGAGTGAGGAAACTCAGGACAGGTGTTTGACCACCAGGGTAGGTGATGGGAACTGTTTGGATGATAGAATTCACTGTGGGCGCAGGTGGCCAGAGGATGATAGAGCCCCCTGCCATCCCCGCAGTGATCAAGCCTAGGTGAGCCCTATTGCTACTGCTCCTGCCCTAGGGACCCTACAGTATATGGCCCCAGAAATCATTGACCAGGGCCCACGAGGGTATGGGAAGGCGGCTGACATCTGGTCACTGGGCTGCACTGTTATCGAGATGGCCACAGGTCGCCCACCCTTCCATGAGCTAGGGAGCCCGCAAGCCGCCATGTTTCAGGTGAGACCCCCCCATGGCCTGGCTCATGAGGTCGGGTGGGGACAGACTGGGCCCTGAACACCTCTAAACTTGACCTCTGTCTACCCTCCCCGACCCTTCCCAGGTGGGCATGTACAAGGTGCATCCGCCAATGCCCACTTCTCTGTCAGCGGAGGCCCAAACCTTCCTTCTCCGAACTTTTGAGCCAGACCCCCGTCTCCGAGCCAGTGCTCAGGCACTGCTGGGGGACCCCTTCCTGCAGCCTGGGAAGAGGAGCCGCAGCCCTGGCTCCCCCAGACCCGCACCGCGGCCCTCAGGTACTACACAAGTGGAGGGAGGGGGCATGCTGGGGTGAGGGCAGAGGAGCTGTGGAGGTGACAAGACTGAACGGGGGCCCATGCTGACAGCCATGTCCCTCCCTCAGATGCCCCTTCAGCCAGCCCCACTCCTTCGGCCGACTCGACCACCCAGTCCCAGACATTCCCGTGCCCACAGGCACCCTTTCAGCATCCACCGAGTCTGCCCAAGCGCTGCCTCAGTTATGGAGACACCAGCCAGCTCCGGTGAGAGCCCAGGGTCTTGAGAGTGACTTTGCCTCATCTGGGTTTGCCCTTGTACTCCCTCCAGAAGAAGCCCCCCACCCCGCCCGGCCTTGGCACCTCCAGCCACCTGCAAGGATGGCATTTGGTGCCCCCTCCCAGATGCTCTGACTTCTATTTATTGTGCCATCTCAGTGCCAGGCTTATCTCTTGAATCCCTGTGAGGTAGGCATAAAAATACAAGAACCAGGATTCAAACCCTGGGGTGGAGGTGGCTGGCCCGTGTTGCTACCCGCCCTCCACCGGCAGCTCCCCATTACACTAGGGTGCCTGAGGAGCCCGGGGCGGAGGAGCCCACGTCCCCCGAGGAGAGTTCTGGGCTGAGCCTGCTGCACCAGGAGAGCAAGCGCAGGGCCATGCTGGCCTCGGTGCTGGAGCAGGAGCTGCCCACGCTGGCGGAGAATCTGCGCCTGAAGCAGGAACAGGTGGGTGCGGCCGCCCCAGCGCTCCCTGGCGGTCGAGCGCTGACGGGAAGCCTGCTGACCGCCTCCCTCACTCCTCCACCCACCGGCAACTCTCTTGACTCAGGCGGCAACACCCACTGACAACCCTCTTCCTTCTCAGGGTCCCCGTCTGGGCAGGAATCATGTGGAACAGCTGCTGCGCTGCCTCGCCGCGCACATCCACACGCCCAACCGTCGGCAGCTGGCCCAGGAGCTGCGGGCGCTGCAAGGGCAGCTGCGGGCCCAAGGCCTCGGGCCGGCGCTTCTGCATGGACCGCTCTTCGCCTTCCCGGATGCGGTGAGGGAGCTTTCTTGAAGTTAAGGCTGCCTAATAATAGGTAGTGAGCTCCCTGTGCCTGGGAATGTGCAAGGACTTGGTGTTGCAAGGTTGCATGTCCTCCCTGTGAAGATAGAGCCCGCAGGAAAGGGACATCTACCCAGTTCTAACTTCCCAGCCCCTCCCTCGGCCCCAAGTCCGCCTACCCGACTAGCCTTTGGCAGAAGGCTTTCTAGGGCTTTCCAACTCGAGCCCCACCTCTATCTGAGACTCAGCCAAGCGCCCTTTCTCCCTCTCCAGGTGAAGCAGATCCTCCGCAGGCGCCATATCCGCCCACACTGGATGTTCGTACTGGACTCGCTGCTCAGCCGAGCTGTGCGGGCAGCCCTGGCTGTCTTGGGCCCAGGCGGGCCGAATGGAGCTGGTCGGCGGGCCAGCGAGGGTAAAAGCCCCTCGGGGGCGTGACGAGCACAAATGGGGCCGGGAGGGGGCGTGGCCCGTAGGGGTTAGGCTCTGCAGGGGCGGAAAGGAACGGGTGGGGCGTGGCCAACCGGGCCTATCCCAGACTGGCACTGCCTGGCGGGTACCCAGTGCCTTGGCGCCTTGCGCCTTACCCCCAGTGTTTGGGGATGTGTTTGGGGATCCCAGATGGGCGTTCCCTCCCTGCCTGACCTCACCCCAGTCACTTGGCTTGGCAGAGGTGGAGATGGAGGCGGTCCCACCGAGGTCAGAGGAGTCAAGTAAAGAAGAGGAACCCCAGTCCAAGCAGCAGGAAACCTTGGTCAAGTTGAGCCGGCTCCCTGGGGAACCAGAGCAGGGATCCCCGCCCCTGATGGTGCAGCTGAGCCTCTTGCGAGCAGAAACTGACAGGTAAAGCCCCTGGGCCTTGTCCATCCCCTCTGAACCAGCTTCACCCTCATTCCTCCGGCTATTCTACTCTCCCAGCCTCTGCATTCTCCAACAGGCTTCGAGATGTCCTGGCTGAGAAGGAGCGGGAGTGCCAGGCCCTGGTGCAACAAGCTCTACAGCAGGTCAGCCGGAAGGCAGGGATCTTTGCCCTGGCCTCCGAGCCCCCAGGTGAGCTGGTGAACACTAGCTGTGAGTGTGAGGCAGCTTCTGGCAGGAAGTACCCCTGGATTCACCACCTGACTCCTCCTTGACAGCTGCTCTCACAGTGGATCAGGGCCTGGTGCAGTGGCTACAGGAACTGAATGTGGATTCAGGCACCATCCAGATGGTGAGGGGGAGAGTGCTGGCTATCCTTGACCCCCACCGACCAAAGACTCCACCTCTGCCCATCTTTCAGCTCTTCTCACTTCCCCTCTCTCTTCCCCTCACACAGAGAATTCACTGTGGGAAGAGCACTTAGTATACCCCCCCCCACCATGGTACCGATGAGAAAACTGCGGCCCCGAAAGGGGTATTTGCCCTAGCATATTGGTGGTACTACACAGCTAGTACCTGAGTCTCTGAACACATCTTTCTCTGATTTTTTCTTCCACTGTTTTTGCATCCGGGTCTCTGTCCGCAACCAGCTGCTGAACCACAGTTTCACCCTCCATACCCTATTGACCTGTGCCACTCGAGATGACCTCATCTACACCCGCATCAGGTATGTCCTGGGCCCTCCAAGGATGACCCATGCATATGGCTTCGTGTTGGTCAGATCCTGACCCCCAGCTACATGCCTGCCTGGATTCCTCCCTGGAAATTACAGGGAAACCAGTGTCCTCTGGGGACAGAGAGGGCATCAGGCAGACTGGGTATTAGAGAGGGCCCAAGACCTTATTCTGGCAAGCCACATTGAGCCTGCTATCCCCAGGGGAGGGATGGTATGCCGCATCTGGAGAGCCATCTTGGCACAGCGAGCAGGATCCACGCCGGTTACCCCTGGCCCCCAAGAGGCTGAATGAGAGCTCAGAGACAAGAGGCTAGACCCAAGGATGGATGAATGGAGAAGATAGGAGAAGCTTCTGATATACCTGCCCCAGGACTCAGGATCAACTGGAGGAGGCCAGGTGGATGGGGGGCAGGGTAGGGCCCAGGCCTAGCCCCAGTGGGCAGAATCAACCATAGAGATGCCCCAAGCATATCAAGTACCGCCAGGCAAAGACTATTAAACAGAACACCTTTGTACGCTTGGGCCTTGGCAACTTCCGAAGTAAGGGGTGGGGACAGGGGCTCCTGGGCGCAGCTTCCTAAGGTCTTTCCGTCTGAGTCTAAAGTTCCTTCACCTGTTCTCCTTCACTTACCATCACCCTTTCCCGACATCACCCTCACCCCCAAACAGACACCAGCCCCTTGCTGCCCTTAGAATAAACTTTATTGGTTTTAGCCAAGGGCAGGCCCTGAGATGGGGGTCCCGAGAAGAGTTGGGTGGCTTATAGGAGAACTATGTCCTGGGGACCAGGTTGGTTCTGAGTGGCAGAAGGCCATCCACCCACTCGCATGGTCGCTCCAGGAGTGTCTGCCACAGCTGCTTCTCCTCTGGTGTGGAATCCATCCAGGGCACCTGCAGCCCATAGCTGCTGCCTAGATATGTGCAGACAGGGGTGGAGGCCGTGGTCACACCGGACACCCCAGGTCTCAAGGAACACCTGCCTGGTCCCAGATTATGCACTTCCACTCCCAGTTCTCAGTGGACACCAAAGCCCAGGAGAGGGCAGAGAAGTGCCCGAGGCCACACACGGAGCCCCTGCTTCTCAGCATCAGATCTCCCCAGGGCCCTGCCCCACTCACCTGTGCCCAAGCTGAGGCGTGTACCCCCCAGCTGGCGGCTGGCCAGGGCCCCATGGTCCCAGAGGGAGAGCTCAGCACAGGCCTGGCGCAGGTCAGCAGGCCCGAAGCCATCATAAACCATGGTATGGTTGAACACAGGGCTAAGGCTGCGTCGCACCACCCTTGTCCTTTGGCGGCTGGCCCGGCTGTCATCAGGCAGCACTGAACTGTGGGGGGAGGTGGGCTGGCAATCACACGACCCAGAACCAACCATTCACTGAATCCTACCCGTCCTCACAATGTCCATGTCCCCTGGCTGCTGCCTGAGGCCTCCTGCCTTTAAAAGTTACAACTCCCCCCCCCCAAAAAAAATAAATAAAAAAAAATAATAAAAGTTACAACTCTTATTCACAAGACCCTGGAGTAATGTCTCTGCTACTTCCCCACACAATGACCTTCGTTGGCTCCCTGTTGCCCCCAAAAGTTGTTTCCAAACTTTTTAAAGCCTCAGAACCCTTTCTGCAAGATAAAATATCACTGAAAAAGTAAAAGCACAACACTGTCCATGGTGGAATCTGGGTCTGCAGCTCAGAACCTGATCCGCTGAACTCCATTTCACTCTCTGAGTGTGGGGTACCACCTGGAGGCACCCCTAGAAGACCCCTAGAGGGTACTTTGAAAACCACTGAACTGCAAGTTCAGGGCCAAGCCCCATAGCCTGGCCTTCCAGGTCTTTTCAGGGAAGAGCCAGTCACTCTGAAATGCAGTTCCTCAAGGGTGTCCTTCCCTGACAGGCCTTTGCTCCAGTCGTCCCTTTCACCCCCGCTCAGTAGTCAAAGATCAGACTGGGGGGATCAAGGGTGGTTGATTAGGAGGGGTTTGTCGGAGGTGGGGCGCTCCCGAGGAGGGGGCGCGGAGGAAGGGAAGCGCGAAGGTCCCGATGCCCCTCACCATTGTACGTAGGAATCCAGGGTTCCTGAGCGCTGCGGCACGAGGCCCTGAGCTTCCTTCACCCAGAAGTGCAGCTCCCCGCTGGGGGGCAGTCCCGCGCCTGCGGAGAGGCTCGGCTCAGGCCCGAGGCTCCACGCCCTTGCGCGACTGGAGGTCCCCTCCTCCCAGGGCCGGTCCAGCACGGCCTCTCGCCGGGCGGTCACTCACCCTCGGAGCCGGCGGGGACGTACTTGACCGACAGAGAGAGCAGCCCGCGGCTGGGAAGGTCGTCGGGAGAGGGCGGGACCTGAGAGAGGCGGGCTCGTCAGGGGCGGGAGCAGGCCCAAGCCGAAGGGGCCGCAAAGGGGTGGGGTCTCCATACATCGACCGGGCGCGGCCAGCCGGGGGCACCCAACCGGCCGTCGGGGGCCAGGCCCTCGAAGGGAGCAGTAAGGTGGCGAGTAAGGTAGCCCCGAGGGGAGGGGAGGCCTAAGGCGGAGTCTGAGTGGGGCTGGAGGAAAGCTCGGTAGGGTGCAGGTGGGAGATCTCCCCAAGCGGGCCAGCTGCCTCACCCGGGGCTGCAGGGGGAGCCAGGTGGATGCAGAGCCCCAGTCCCACGTGTCCAGAGGCACTTCGACTTCGCCCAGAAAGATGTTGCGACCAAGGCTTTCGCGGTGCCACACGGATAGGCTCAGCACGCGGCCCCGGAGCTCGGCCTGCGGGACGGAGTACTGGGGACAGGAAGTGCGCTTTAATGGACCACCGCGGCTGGCCCCGGCTTCAGCGCTGCGGGAGTGTACGCCCCTGTCCTA